AGTAAATTAGTGGAGTTTCTTTTAACCAATTACAATCGAGGAAATTGTAATTTTTATGATTAAGTAATATATTATTATCGATCAACTGCGCGAAGAAACTATTCGAAGGCAAGTTCTGAGGTTTATTACAAAATTCATTTTAATCACAATTTCAAATGGAGTTATTTTGAAAGCTACATGATGTTGCTGTTGTCACTTTTCAATCCGTTGTTATTTGATGAATCTGAATGGAAGTGTTTTGAAACAAAAGAAATGAATTAGCTCCATTTACTTATATGAATGCAAGTGTTCCGTTAAATAATCCTTAGGGAAAAGAAAAACATAAGTAACTTACATATGATAGCCATTCTTCATCTTGCACAATGCCTCTGTTCAGTAAAAAATGAGTGGATAAATGAAAAAGAGAGAGAAATCCTTAAAGTTTATAAAAATGTACTTTCCTTGGACGTTACATTTGGTATTGTTTAACACAGATAAACACAAATATCATATTTATTCAAACCAGTAACACGAGTAGGCTAGGTAGAATGTGTAAGTATTTCAAGTATTTCAATTACTCTGTAGGCGTTACAAAGTTTTGTTACCACGCCAGTGATATTGACTGCGCAGCACTGTTTCTTCCTTGCTTCCTTTCTGACTAACGCTCAAAATACTTGCGCACAGCTCGGTCGCACGCAAACTGGGTTCCACATTTACAGTGGTTCAAGGCGTTCCTCACTACCTGTGTCGTTCATCGTGCGCTATGGTTGTCCACGTTTCCTTTTCATTTATTATTTATATGGCGTTTGTGCTCAGCATGACTAATCCCATAGAGGCGGGCATAAAGGAAAACCAAGGGTGTGTGTTCTTTTTGATGATATTCAGTAGAGGTCCAGCAGCGAGGCCAATATTATTGATGGTAAGCTTAGGGACTCACGAGCATATGAGGAAGGGAAAAGTGTACGAGATTCTGATGTTATTTGGGAAATGGTAGCTGACACTTTTGCCAAGCCAGGCAATGCAAATATCCTTCTAATTAGGGAGTGAAAAAAAAGGCCTGTCTGAATGGCTGGCAAAAAGATTTATTTCCGGATTCTTGACTGACCGAAGAAAACAGATATTGATGGAAGG